TGAGTAGCTGGGATTACAGGTGTGCGCCACCATGCCCAGCTAATTTTTGTTTTGTTTTATTTTGTTTTTAAGACGACGTTTCACCGTGTTGGTCAGGCTGGTCTTGAACTCCCGACCTCAGGTGATCCGCCCGTCTTGGCCTCCAAAGTGCTTGGATTACAAGCGTGAGCCACCACACCCGGCCAGTTTTTATATTTTTAGTAGAGATGGGGTTTCACCATATAGGCCAAGCTGGTCTCAAACTCCTGACCTCATGATCTGCCTGCCTTGGCCTCCCAAAGTGCTGGGATTACAGGTGTGAGCCACTGAGCCCAGCCCAGATTTTGCATTTTCAAAGCTCTCATATAATTATTTTCACAATTGTATTGCCCTCCAATACTTGTGAGGAGAGAGATTTATAACTTTCTTACTTTTTCGTATTTAGCTATATTATTTTAGAATCCCAAATTTCTAGAAATAGCTTCTAACATGTGTAAGACCAATCTCCAGTTTATGTGGAAAGATATTACCATAAAGGAATGAAGAATCAGAACCTGGACCCAGCATGGTGACTCACGCCTGTAATCCCAACACTTGGGGCGGCCAAGGCGGGCCAATCACTTGAGGCCAGGAATTCAAGACCAGCCTGGGAAACATGACGACACCCCATTTCTACTAAAAATACAAAAAGTTGCCGGGGTAGTGGTGCATGCCTGTAATCCCAGCTACTGGGGAGGCTGAGGCACGAAAATCGCTGGAATTTAGGAGGTGGAGGTTGCCCCGTTAGCAGAGATTGTGCCACGACATTCCAGCCTGGGTGACAGAGTGGGATTCTGTCTCAAATAAACAAACAAACAAAAACAAAAACAAAAAAACCCGCAAAAAACCAAACAGAACCTCTTCCTTGAGGGTAAAGAGGATGTGTTTGGACTAGCAAGGGGTATGATGCCAGACGGTGGGTAGCTGGGACTCCTACATTTGGAAGGGACTGATTGATAAAAGAGATTGGGAAATCACCTCTCGCATTTTAAGAGATGGGGAAATTAGGAAGATGAGGCACCCTAAGGTCCACTGGGAGTATCAAATTCCTCTGCTGTGAAAAAAGCTTTTGGGGGATTTGACTCCTGAGGGGCTCCAACTGGATGGGGTTTGTGGCTTGTAAGAAAGGTCCCTGGTTCTAAGAGTGAAGTGTGTAGGGGTGCGGGTCTGGCTGTGGGTGTTAGGGCGATGGGCGATGGTGAGAGGGCCGGGCTGCGGGCTGTGGGTCTGGCTGAGTGGGCCGGGGGCCTCTCACCTCTGCGGGCCTTGTCTCCCGGGATGTTCTGGGCCCGCAGCCGCTGGTCCAGGATGTAAAGCATCTCCCCGCCCAAGTTCAAGAAGAGCAGCGGTAGCGTCCGCACCGACATGGTGCTGGAAGCGAGCTGGGCTGGTGAAGAGCCCCAGGGTTCGGCAGTCCGTGGCCTAAAGGCCAGGCCGCCGCGTCCCAGTAGTCTGGTTGCTAGGGCAACGCCGCGACGGGAAAAGGAAGCCAATCAGAAGGCGGTTTGGTGGGAGGTGCCCTGAGGACGGGCGCTAATTGGCCTGGGCGGCGGACTGTCCGCGGCGCGACGTTGGCCGCAGTTGAGGAGGTGTGCTTTTGAGTCTAGTTCCTCCCTCGTATAGGCGAGGGTCGGGCCAGTGTTTGCGGGTGGCCTTGACACAGCCAGCGTGGAGCTCGGGACCCCGGCGCTGGCGCGGGGCCTCCGGTTCCTATGAGAGAGGAAAGCCCAGGCAGAACAGCTTTAGAGCAGGCTCGGGTCAGAGGGACCTGGGTTGGAATCACGGCTCGTGATTTGTTGCTGTGTGACTTCGGGCAGGCTTTGAGCTTTGACTTCCTCTTATGTAACGGGGAGCTGGCACTCATCACAGGACGGCTGAATCAGTGAGATCATGGAAACGCCCCGAAAGCACTCAATAAAAATGGTAACTGACTTTACTTTAGACGGAGCAAGGATCAGAAGTTCTGAGTCGTTTGCATCACCTCCCTACAATTTACTTGAAGGCCTTCCTGGTTTCATACTCGGTGAGGCAACCCAGGCCCGTCCCGGTGTGTCCAGCTCCCAGAGGTTGTGCGCTGGGGACTCCGGGAAGTTCCCTCCTCGACGCTGTTCCGAAGGCCTCCCAACCATTTTTTTTCCCATTTTTTTCCTTTCCTTTTCTTTCTTTTTTTTTTTTTTTTGAGACGCAGTTTTGCTCTTGTCGCCCAGGCTGGAGTGCAGTGGTGCGATCTCAGCTCACTGCAACTTCTGGCTCCAGGGTTCAAACAATTCTCCTGCCTCAGCCTCCCAAGTAGCTGGGATTGCGGGCATGCACTACCACGCCTGGCTAGTTTTTTGTATTTTTAGTAGCAACAGAGCTTCTCCTTGTGGGTCTGGCTGGTCTTGAACTCCCAACATCATGGCTTACTGCAGCCTAGAACTCCTGGCCTCAAGTGAGTCTCCTGCCTCAGACTCCTTAGTTGGTGGGATTAAAGGCCCCGCTAACTACCTTTTTAGCGCTGTCTCCTGCACCTGGCTACCTCCTCTCTGCTGTCCAGTTGAACTCATTAGCAGGCTGCCTCTTCCTCATAACCACACCACTGGAAAGTCTTGCCCTGACATAACCAAGCTCAAGTCCTTCCCATATTAACACTCTCCTTCCATCTCATATCCCTGCTAGTCTGTTTTCCTTCCTTTCCTTCCAGTGAAGTGTTTAAAACAAGTTGACAACACTCACAACTGGAACTTCCTTAATATCCTCACTCCCCACCTCACTGCAACTGGTATTATTCTCCCTGAACCCCAGTGAAACTGCTTCACCATGAATACTTCTTAGTCCTTCCCTTAACTGATACCTCAGCATTAGGATTATACAGTATCCCACTACTGGTGGCCCAAGGCTTTGTTTAATTTTGTTATTTTGCCTGCTCTGTGCTCTGTTTTTTTTTTTTGAGACAGAGTTTTGCTCTTGTTACCCAGGCTGGAGTGCAATGGCGTGATCTCGGCTCACCGCAACCTCTGCATCCTGGGTTCACGCGATTCTCCTGCCTCAGCCTCCTGAGTAGCTGGGATTACAGGCGCCTGCCACATTTTTATATTTTTGGTAGAGATGGGGTTTCATCATCTTGGCCAGGCTGGTCTTGAACTCCTAACCTCATGATCTACCTGCCTTGGCCTCCCAAAGTGCTGGGATTATAGGTGTGAGCCACTGCGCCCAGCCCATTTTTTCTTGTACTCTATCCCTGGGCAGTTTCATTTACACCCATGGGTTCAACTCGCAAACCTCTCTAGTCCAGACCCCTCTACTGAGTCCTAGATCTAAACTTCCACTTGCTCTTTGGATAGCACTTTAATACACCTTTCTCCCTTTTTGGCTTTCCTCAGTGGCTTCCCTTCTCTGAATGAAGTCCAACGTATTTCTGCAGTGTTATGGGCTGAATGTGTCCCCCCAGATTCATATGCTGAAGCCCTAACTCCGGTGTTACGGTATTTAGAGATGGGGCTTCTCAGAGGTAACTAGGGTTAGATAAGGTCATGAGTAGTCCTCATGATGGGATTAAGGGCCTTGTAAGAGAGAGTGATCTTCCCCCAGTGCATGGAAGGAGGGAAGTGCCATGTGATGACATTGAGAAGGTGGCCTTTCCAAGCTAGGAAGAGTCCTCACCTGAAATTGAATTGGCTGGTACTTTGATCTTGGAATCCCCAGCCTCCAGATCTGAAAAACTGAACTCACAATAAAAATCCTGTCACCTAATCTACGGTATTTTGTTATGGCAGGCTGAGCAGATGAAAACACCCAGAAAGCTCTACATCACCTGGTATTTGCCTACCTTTCTGACCTCCTATCTTCTCACTATTGTCTTTGCTCTGTTTTAGACAGTCTTCCTTGGGTTCTTCAAACATACCAGGCATGCTCAGGCTTCAAGGTGTTGGTACTTAACCTGGTGTAAATGGATGGGCTTTATGGGGAAGCGGGTATCCATAACTCCCTAGAATTTATAAGCAGTGCTTTGTGTATTTACAGGTTCCTGGGGGTAGGACTTGTAGTTTTGATCCCCTACCCCTGATACACTGCTCTGATCTCTCCTCCTCCCATCTACCTTCCACGCCGCTGTTGCTTAACTGTCTAAAACACAGACCTGTTATCATCATTCCTTTAGTTTTTTTTTTTTGAGACAGCATCTCGCTGTGTCGCCAGGTGCCAGGCTGGAGTGCAGTGGTGTGATCTCGGCTCACTGCAACCTCCGTCTCTCAGGTTCAAGCAATTCTCCTGCCTCAGCCTCCTGAGTAGTTGGGACTATAGGTGCATGCCACCACGCCCAACTAATTTTTGTATTTTAGTAAAGACGGGTTTCACCGTGTTGGCCAGGATGGTCTCGATCTCTTGACCTCGTGATCTGCCTACCTTGGCCTCCCAAAGTGCTAGGATTACAGGTGCGAGCCACCGTGCCCAGCCACTCCTTCTTCAGTTTTAAAACTTTGTCTCCCCACTGCCTAATGGACAGTGTACAATCTTCTCAGCCTAGCATATAAAGCCTCTCACACCTCAGCTTCAGCTTTTCAAGCTTTATTTTTTATTCTCCCCAGCCTCTGAACACAGCATGCCTCTCTCTCTAGACTTCTTTGCCTTTGTACTTGCAATTCCTTCTGCCCAGGAGCCTTTCTCTTCCTGTCTGTAACCAGTGAACTCCTACTTATGCTTCAGGGCCCAGTCCGGAAGGCATCTCTTACAGCTGTTCTTTTCTCCCATACAGCCACACTTCCACTGTGCTGTCACGTACTCTGTCTTCCCTCTACTGAAACATATATCACCTGGATGACAGGTAATTGTTTGTATGAGTGTGTGGGAGGTGTGTCATGAGTGTGTGTCCCTGGTAGGTGAGGGCAGGGACTCTGCCTCACACAACTCTGAGATCCCAGAGCTGAATCAAAGAATAAATTTCTCCTCCTCCTTAGACCAAAAAGAGCCCCACTGTCTCTCCTATCATTCATCAAGACAGAAAGCAATGATTGAACAGAATTTATTGGTTGTCTCTGAGTATCTCTGGTTCGGCTTTGGCAGGGCTGTCTGGTTTCCTTTGCTTTGCTTGTTTTTGGGCTGCTGCTGCAGCCTGTAAAGCTCTTTTTTGCTTCTTCAGCTTTTGAGTCTCCTGGAAAACCTGGGGGTAAAAAGGGGCAGCAAAAGACCTCATGATCCTATGTAAAATCTAAGACTTGGAACAGGTCGGGGTGGGAACTATCACCCTCAGATGGTAACCACAGCCTTTCTCCATGGGGTTGGTGGCCTGTGACCTCATTGGATCCATTCCAGGGCCCCCTCCCTTCTGCTTCCTCCATCCCAGTCCCTCAGGGGGGCCAAGCAAAGCAGCAATTCTGACTCGTACCCGAATGCACAGAGCCTTCTTCGTCACGAATCGGCGGTGGGCTCTTCGGTAATACAGAGGTGGGAAGGTGTACTCAATTCCCAGCTCCTTGCATATCTTCTCATAGACATCATAGTTGGTGTTACGGAGGTTTTTGAGCATCTTTTTCCTCTGGTCGATGCTCATCAGCAGATAGCGTTTGTGGGCTTTGTCCTGTAAGAAAGTCTCATTATTTTTAGTATTATGTAAGTGTTACTGTTGTTCACAGCAACAAAGGATGGTCATTTTATCACTTTATTGAAATTTCTCAATAATCTTATGCAAATATTAATGCAATTCTGAGAGACACATTGTCATTGTTATTCCCATTTTACAGATGCGAAAATAAAGGTTTAAAGATGTTATCTGATTCACAAAAGGTCCTTAGGACTAAGTGCTGAGACTGGGTCTTGAATCTCTATCTATTGGTCTGAGTTCAAACCTCATGCTCTTTCTCTTACATCACCCATTCAGACTCTCCACAGCTTAGCCAACTGTCAGCTGGGGTAGAGAGGAGGGAAGGCTTTGTGCTCCTCCTGGCAATGCCTACCCACATCTGGCTGCTGCCCTGTGAGGGGCCTCTGCAGTGGAGCTGCTGTTCCACACCCCAAATAAGCAAAACCATGATCTCCAAGAAGCAGGCTTCAAGGAACACTGACCTCAAGTGCCACGTGTGGTGCTGGACCAGTCTATATTCACCATCATGTGTTTTACTAAAAATAAGAGCATTTGCCTAATTACAGCAGCTCTGTGCCAGACACTGCTGAGATACGGTATAACGGTTAAGAATATGGGCCTGGGAGACTGCCTTGTTTCAAGGTCTCCACATATCATTTCCCAGTGGATGCCTTGAGGAATAACCTAATCACTCCATGACTAGATTATTCCTCATTAAGATGGGAAAGAAACATAGTCATGAGGTCAGGTGTGGTGGCTCATGCCTGTAATCCCAGCACTTTGGAAGGCAGCTGGATCACTTAGGATCAGGAGTTCGAGACCAGTCTGGCCAATATGGTAAAATCCCGTCTCTACTAAAAATACAAAAATTAGTTGGACGTGGTGGCATGTGCCTGTAGCCCCAGCTGCTCAGGAGGTGGAGTCAAGAGAATCACTTGAACCTGGGAGGCAGAGGATGCAGTGAGCTGAGATTGCATCACTGCATTCTGGCCTGGGCAACAAGTGAGACCTGTCTCAAAAAAAAACCCCCCAAACCAAAAACAAACAAACAAAAAAGACAGTCATGAGAGTCAAATGAGACACAGAGCCTGAAGACTTTATACGCATCACATTGGCTGTTATTATTTCACATAATCCTTGCAATCCTGTGAGCAGGTATTCGTGTGAACTCTATCTTACTGAAAAGAGAACTGAGGCTGAGACCTGTAACTTCCCTAACGTCGCACAGTGAGTTAAGTGTAAGTGGCAGAGCTGGCATTTGAACTCCGGGCAATCTGACTCCATTCATGCATTCAACACATATTTACTGAGCACTCAGCATGTGCCAGACACAGTGATCATGCTCTAAAGTTTGTGTTTTTTTTTTTTTTTTTTTTTTTTTTGAGACGGAGTTTCGCTCTTGTTACCCAGGCTGGAGTGCAATGGCGCGATCTCGGCTCACCGCAACCTCCGCCTCCTGGGCTCAGGCAATTCTCCTGCCTCAGCCTCCTGAGTAGCTGGGATTACAGGCACGCGCCACCACGCCCAGCTAGTTTTTTTGTATTTGTAGTAGAGACGGGGTTTCACCATGTTGACCAGGATGGTCTCGATCTCTCGACCTCGTGATCCACCCGCCTCGGCCTCCCAAAGTGCTGGGATTACAGGCTTGAGCCACCGCGCCCGGCCTTAAAGTTTGTGTTCTTAACCCCTGGTGACACTCAGCATGCCCTTGTAAGGCTCCAAGTCCTCTGGCGGGAGGAGAGAAACATGTTTCCCACGGAAGCTGAGGGGTGGGCACTCTGGTGCTATAGCCCACTGGCTTCTAAGCCTCTTTCTCTGGACCCAGAGCCCTTCCCCTCCCAGCCCCTCTCCCCAAGGCTGCTGCTGTTGAACTGTGAACGACGCCCAGGGTTTACCTTTCGATGTTTCTGCATGTGTTCTTCATAACTGCGGATCTTGACGGTCAAGGCAACAACTGAAACCACAAACCACAGAGGATGAGAGTTGGGCACAGAGGAAGGAAAGGCCCAGGCCTGGGTTACGTTTTAAGAATTCAAGGAGTAACAATTACCAATGCTCTGTACAGCTCTCTATCAATCCCAATGCACTCTGAATTTTAGGATTTCAAAGGCTTATCTTAAAGACATTATCTTTCCTTTAAAAAGCAAAATTCAAGGAAGGGGCATCCCTTAATATGATAAAGATATCATCCAAAAATCATAGCAAATAACATTCTTTTTTTTCTCCTTTTTTTTGAGATGGAGTCTCCGTCTGTTGCCCAGGCTGGAGTGCAATGGCACGATCTCGGCTCACTGCAACCTCCATCTCCCAGGTTCAGGAGATTCTCTTGCCTCAGCCTCCCAAGCAGCTGGGATTACAGGCACCCACCACCATGCCCTGCTAATTTTTTTTAGTAGAGATGGAGTTTCACCATGTTGGCCAGGCTGGTCTCAAACACCTGACCTCAAGTGATCTGCCCGCCTTGGCCTCTCAAAGTGCTGGGATTACAGGCATGAGCCATCGTGTCCAGCCACAAATAGCACTCTTAATGGTAAGACTATCCATTTAATTCAGGAATTAGACTAGGATACAATGCTTTCGTGGTTAACAATTCAAGACTGTACTAGAGGTCCAAGCCAATGCAGTAGTATTTTGGCACAAGTAAGATTCTAAAACTGTCAAGGGTCTACTCCTTGCCTCTCCCCTTCCTGCTGCCACCTTTATCTCCATACTTTGATTAATGAGTTTTCAGAATTACCAGCTCCCACTTGTCTCTCAAGAATCTGGAATATCCTTCTTTTAGGCATCCTCTTATTTAATTCCCCCCTGTACTGCAAAGATGCGGCAAAAGCAGCAGCTGGCCCCAAAGAGGCTGTCACAGCAGCAGGCCCTTCCCAGTACACATACTGAGTTCTGGGAGCACTGCACAAAGTGCAGTGAGAACCCGGGCCCTGACCACATGGCTCTGTCACACACTACCTTAGGTGTAGAGTGGAATAACACAAAGATGGGCTTTGGTTCCTGAGGGGTTCTCTAGAACAGACACTATGCTAGAAGCAGCTGGCCTTCCGGAAACTGAGTATTAACAGAAAGGCAGAATTGACACCTGTGAGCTGGGTGCAGTGGCTCATGCCTGTAATCCCAGCACTTTGGGAGGCTGAGGTGGGTGAATCGCCTGAGCTCAGGAGTTTGAGATCAGCCTGGGCAATATGGCAAATTCCTGTCTCTACCAAAAATACAAAAATTAGCCTGCCATGGTGATGCATGCCTGTGGTCCCAGCTACTTGGGAGCCTGAGGTAGAAGAATTGCTGGAGCGCTGGAAGTTGAGGCTGTAGTGAGCCATGGTCACGCCCGCCACTGCATTCTAGCCTGGGTGAGAGAGACTGGTCTCTAAAAAAAAGAGGATCCCAGTAACCACCTTGCCAGTCCAGGACATTTGTTCCTGCCAGCCTGGGGATTTCAGTAGTGATAATGCAGAAACGGGTGAGGAAAGATAAGCAGGGCTTTGTGGCTGAGATGGTCCCTAGCCCAGGGCTTCAGCAGGGCAAGGGAAGCTGAAACTCATCTTCTCAAAAGGGGCTATGGAGGACCCTGGAGTCCAGTTCTCAGTGGGGTTTTAGTAACTAAGACGAACTCAGCAGACTTGAATCCCTGGCAGAGGGAGGAGAAAAGAATGAAGGCAGGAGGGTAGAAGAGGAGGCGGCGGCTGTAATAAAGGCCGATGGCAAAGGAGAGAGAGTGTGCAGACCCCAGGCAGGTCTACTGGTCTACCTCACTTGCTCTTGTGGGCAATGAAAAGAAACTGCACCCAAAGAGAGGGGAAAGTGGTGGCACTTTTCACTCATGTCTAATGAAGACTACTGCCAGTTCCAGCCTGAACCAAAGTAGGAACATTATTCCCTTGGGAATGCACCATGGTGCCTGTCTGGCACATGAGGGTTCAGTAAATGTTAGTCTTACTATTATTATCACACATTGTGAGCTTTAGTTTCCAAGGTGTATTCACATCCTCTAGCTGGCTCTCACAATGCTGTCATGAGTTGGGTAACATTACCTCTGCCCTGCTCTCCCTTATTCCCCCATCTCCACACAAGGAAGCAGAGGCTCCAAGAGAGGGTTGGTGACTTACCCAAGCTTACACAGAAGTACAAGGCATAGAGTCTAGTTTTCATTGCCCTAGGTCCTCCATGTCCTTCCCTTTCCCAAGCCACATGTGAGTGTGCTTGTAGACAAGAGCCCTAGATCAGGTCCCAGCTAGGGCTCCCCTAAACCCCCACTCCCCAAGGGTCCCCGACCAACTTCGAGCCTCCAGGGATCTGGTGTCCTCAGGGTTTTCAACAATCTTTTTCATCAACTGTTCTTGTATGACTTTTAGCTTCTCCTTCTGTTGAAGACAGAGACAGAGAAGATCTGTGCAGTCTGCCACCTCTGAGAACTAGCCCTCCTCCCTCCTCCCGCCAAGGCCCTGGCTACAGTTACAGCAACTAGGGACATAAGGCTCAGGGCCCGACTTTACTCTGCTCACTGTGGCCTTGACCAGCCACGTGGCTATCCACATCCAGGTGAGCCCAAAGCCAAAGTCACTGACAGGAGAAATGACCTGTTGCATGAATGTTCCCAAAGCTTGCTCATTCATTTACACTTATTCATTCATTCATTGAGCACCTGTTTGTCAGATACTAGGGGTATGGTGGGGGAACAAAAGTGTCCCTGCTATGAAGATGCTCTGTCTAGGGATATTGACAAGTAGACACACAATGACAGTGGGCTAAGTGCTGTGACTGGAGAAGCATGGGATGGGTTGCTAACCAGGGTAGGAGGGAGTCCCAGAGAGGACTGCGGGAGGCTGAGGCTTGGCAGAGGATGCTCACCTTTTTGGCCATTTCCAAAGACAAGAGTCTTTTCACAACATCACCAACCCTGTGGGAAAACCACAGCAATGAGACAGACATGGAGGAGAGGGGGAGGGGGAAACAATGCTGGTTTCATTTTAGTTTGAAAAGCAAAGATGATTGAAAAATTCCTTCTGCAGCAGATCAATCTCCCTGGAGGTGGGGAGCCATTTCCCAGGAATTAAAAGTCAGTGTGGATCTGGCTTGCTGGGTGGAAGACTATAGAAACTGGGGCTGTCAGCTCGAGTGTTCTGGTCTCATCACAGGGAGGGCAAGGAGAGGATTTCCATTTTAGCTACAACATGGTTCAATGTGTTTTGACACATTTCAAGTTAAATTGCACACCGAGAAGGACTGGAGGGACTGGCCAGCTCCCACAACACTGGACAGGAGCTGAGCAGAGGGCCTCTGGCTTTGGTGTCAGTCAGCCCTGGATTCCAACTCTAGTTCTGCCCCTTAAAACTGTATCACAAGCCGGGCGCGGTGGCTCAAGCCTGCAATCCCAGCACTTTGGGAGGCCGAGGCGGGTGGATCACGAGGTTGAGAGATCGAGACCATCCTGATCAACATGGTGAAACCCCGTCTCTACTAAAAATACAAAAAATTAGCTGGGCATGGTGGCGTGTGCCTGTAATCCCAGCTACTCAGGAGGCTGAGGCAGGAGAATTGCCTGAACCCAGGAGGCGGAGGTTGCGGTGAGCCGAGATCGCGCCATTGCACTCCAGCCTGGGTAACAAGAGCGAAACTCCGCCTCAAAAAAAACAAAAAAACAAAAAAAACAAAAAAAAACTGTATCACACTGGGCAGCTTGAAAATCTATAAAATGGGTCCACAGAACTTTTGTGAGGAACAAGAGATGAGAGATTTCTACAAAGACCTGTGAGGCATGTAGCTTCTTGGAATCTAGTGGTACAGGGTCTTCATCTAGAGTACCAAAAAACCCCCAAGTAGCCGAGCTCCATGAGTACCATCTGCCTTGCTGACCACCCATCCGCACCACACCTGGGCCCCTGCCTCCTTCTATATCAAGCTTCAACTACAGCAAGCCAAGTCTCAAAGCCACTGTCTTTCCCCATTCCCTGACAGTCCTCCCAGGGTCCCCTGACTCCTCTACTAGGTTTCTTCCTGCTTACTTCTCAATTCCAGGGACATTCTGGTAGTCTTGGAGCAGCGTAGAAGGAGGCAGGTCATCATCTTGCCTGGGCTGGACTGTTAAGTAAATAAAGGGATAGAAACCCAGAATCAACCTCACCACCCATCCTCCCAGACTTGGCTCTTCTCACTCGCTCTCCAACTCTGGAAGAGACATCCAGGGTCTCAAGCAAAGCACTGGGTATCTCTGGACTCAGTTTCTCCTCTGCAAACTCTGTGGGCACCTGATTTGATATTTCATATTGGGAGTTGATGGCTTTTCCCAAGACCCTACACTGTGCCTGTATCTTTCACACCCCTATCTGGCTCTACAGTTCTCAGATCCCCCACTAGGATGCATCCTCCTGTGGACAGGACAGAGTTTGACCTTTGAATCCACCATAGTCTGGTCCGTGGCTCAGCCTAGACAAGGCACTCAACAAACACTTGCTGGCTGACTGCATAAATGAAATAAGGGGGTTGAGGAAAGGCAGCTAGCTGTATGATGCCTGAAATGTAAGCACCGAGTAGAGATCACAGGAAAATCTCAGTCTTGATGTGTGCACCTGTGCTAATCCTTGGAGGTGAGGGAGATGCAGAGGGTAAATGGATTTATCCTCTCCAGTCACACACTGCTATGCAAATAACATTATCAGGCATCTTCTGTCTGTAACAGCTCAAGTTGGTTCTGATAGGGAGGCAGAAAAAACTATTGAAATATATTAATGGCAATAAATTCTACTTTAATTTTTGTAGAGATAGGGTCTTGCTATGTTGCCCAGGCTTGTCTTGATCGTGGCCTCAAGTGATTCCCCCAGCCTTGGCCTCCCAAAGTGTTGGGGTCATGTCCAGTCAATCAATTTTTACTTTTTTTTGGGATGGAGTCTTGGGTCTGTCACCTAGGCTGGAGTGCAGTGGCACGATCTCGGCTCACTGCAACCTCTGTCTCCCAGGTTCAAGTGATTCTCCTGCCTCAGCCTTCTGAGTAGCTGGGATTACAGGAGTGCATACCACACCTGGCTAATTTTTATTTTTTATTTTTAGTAGAGACGGGGTTTTACCATGTTGGCCAGGCTGGTCTCGACCCCCTGAATTCAAGTGATCTGCCTGCCTCGGCCTCCCAAAGTGTTGGGATTACAGGCGTAAGCCACTGAGTCCGGCCCCAGACAATAAATTCTAATATATATTATTAATATATTTAATTGAGCATAATGCTAAGGATGCTTTTCATGTGTTATCGATGAATCCTAACAATCCTTGCAAATGGATACTTTCACACTCACTTTAGAATTAAGAATCAGAGACAGGAAGTACCTCGCCCCATATCATTTACCTAATAAGAGGGATCTGAATTACTACGCGGTACTGACTTGCAATGGGAAACTACATCTTGCATCTCAGAAGTGCAGACAAAAAAATGCCATACTCTAGGTAGAGCCTGGGTGATGCCAGCCATGCATGCACTCCCTCTGGAAAGTTCATTTTCACTCATTCACCTGTAAAGCTCCTGCTCCCGCCCTTCACACCCCTCTCTCCCCATACAGGTTGCAGGCCTAGGCTTTTGTGTAAGGTGGACGTGGGGGCTCCTGCTCAGGACCTCTGCCTCACCCCATCTAGTGGGTCTAACTCTCCACATCGGTGCCCTTATCCACCCTAATCCTTACAGGAGGTCGTTCTTCCGCCCCAAGTCCCACCCCAGGAACTCCTACCTGGTTTCCGGACGACATATCTGCGCGTGGCCTGGAGGAAACCTAAGGGAAGAGAGAGGGCTGAGGCCTATCTGCTTAAATAGTCCACCCTCAATGCCTTTCTGTGCCCCTCACATTGCCCGTCCGCCACTGTCTATGCGCTTCTGAGCCTAAACGCTGCCCCATTTCTTCCCTACCCCTTGTGTCTCACACCTTGTCTCACCTCTAGCGCAACCACCACCCTTTCTCCCTCATCCTGACGCTTACATGTCCCCTATTCCTGTGCTCCCTTCTCCCCTATCTCTGCCGAACCCTGTTTCCCTACGCGCCCAGTCCCATTTCTCAGCTCCTCACTTCGAGGCTGCAGGCCCCACTGGTTGGAAAGAAACGTGGCGCTCCCACCGCCCGGCAACCCGGGGCCTGGGGCCTGGGTGACTGCCTGGGTCCGAATCAAACTCAACACCCTCCACGCGGCCCTTAGCATGGTGACTTCTAACCCCCGCGGGGCCCGCGCCGCGGCCGCCGTTCCCTTTGCGGCACCGACCCGGTTACATGGGCGCCGCCATGCTGGCCCAGGCTCGACCAATCGAGGCAGTTGCGATACCGGAGCAGAAGAAGACCGAGAGAATGGATTGGCGGGCGGGACTCTGATGGCGGGGCGCACGTTCCAGCCGCGCGAAATCGGGGCGTGGTCGTGTGCCCACGTTTAACTGTGTGCTAGGGTGCTGTGTAAATTCTAAAATGCCGCTTTTTGGAGGGCGTGCAACCTGTCCTTTATCTCTCAGTATTCCCTGGCCTTGGGACGGGGTTATTTTGGGAGTTCCATGGCGCCTGGGAGTAGCCTTCTACCGCCAACCCAATCCCCTCTCCACACCTCACCGCACCCCTCAGTCCCTAAGTCAAGGATAGGGCCCTGTAAGAACTACTACTAGGTTTCAGCCTTGTCTCTGGCAGCCTCGTAGCCTGGAGACTAAAGTCGCTGATTTTGGAATCGCACAGCCCTGGTCTGGAATCCTAACTCAGCCATTTACTCAACGTGTGATCTTGTGGGCAAGTCACTTAACCTTTGTGGGCCCTGGAGGGATGGTAATAACAATATCTCTCTTTCAGGTTGTTGAGAGGATTGACTGAGGCAGTTGTATGCAGAGCACCTGGTATATAGTGAGCATTTAGTAAATCTTTTTTTTTTTTTTTTTTTTTTTTTTTTGAGACAGAGTCTCACTCTGTCACCCAGGCTGGAGTGCAGTGGCACGATCTCGGCTCACTGCAACCTCTGACCCCCGGGTTCAAGCGATTCTCTTGCCTCAGCCTCCCTAGTAGCACCTGCCACCGCGCCCGGCTGATTTTTGTATTTTTTATTTTATTTTATTTTATTTTATTTTTTTGAGATGGAGTTTCGCTCTTGTTACCCAGGCTGGAGTGCAATGGCGCGATCTCGGCTCACTGCAACCTCCGCCTCCTGGGTTCAGGCAATTCTCCTGTCTCAGCCTCCTGAGTAGCTGGGATTACAGGCACGCGCCACCATGCCCAGCTAATTTTTTGTATTTTTTTTAGTAGAGACGGGGTTTCACCATGTTGACTAGGTTGGTCTCGATCTCTCGACCTTGTGATCCACCCGCCTCGGCCTCCCAAAGTGCTGGGATTACAGGCTTGAGCCACCGCGCCCGGCCTGATTTTTGTATTTTTAGTAGAGACGGGGGTTTCAACATCTTGGCCAGGCAGGTCTTGAACTCCGGACCTTATGATCCACCCCCCTCGGCCTCTTAAAGTGCTGGGATTACAGGCGTGAGCCACCGCGCCCGGCCCGCATTTAGTAAATCTTTATTTTCTTTCTTTATTTTTTTACTCTGGAAGTTGAATGCACACATTGACAATCATTCTCCCAGAGCATTTAGTAAATCTTAATGGTGATGTTATTTGTGAAATGAGTGGTGTAAGGGTGAATACAAATTAGAAGAAAAAGAATTTTATTTTCCATGGCGCAACAAGGGAAAAGACTTCTTTCCCTCACTTTTCTGAGAGATTTACTTTAGAGAACTTGTAATTGTGAATACCTTCTCTACTGCTTTGCGATGAATGTAAATGTTTTTAAAAGGTAAATAAACCTCTTACCAGTTTTACAACCCCGGAATGTTTTTTTTAAGGACCTGGGAGCCATCCCTTTGAAATGTAACAATTGAGGAGGATAGTGGTCTCTTTCTCAGCTCCTGTGGGAGGGTAGGAGCCTAACTTCAGTTGGTGCCTAACTAGCTCTTACTTGCAACCTACCTCTTGTCATTAAGATAGAGGAAATCGATTTTTCCTTTGGATAAAGGCAATTAGCAGACACAGGTGGCTGCCATTTACTAGGTAAATTTAGAGTGAGGTGCTGCCAAGTCCTCTTACTTGAGGACCAGTTATCGTTTATCTTGAGAAAATGGATACAATAAGTCGTATTCACTTGGCTATATAAAAGGGTAATATTTTTTTCTGTCTTTGCAGTCTCTTTAGTGGATTGCTTGTGATGTGTATCACATTCTGCTTTAATGCTTAGTCAATAATAACACTGTTTCTTTTTTACCCTTGTGGAGGGGTTTTCTGGGTTGGCAGGGGATTTTGTTTTCAATTATATTTCCCCAACAGGAGTTAGTTTTTTTCCAAGATCTCTTCACTGTGTCCCACTGCACTCTCACTCCCCCCATGTAACCCATGCCACTGTGCCCTAAGGATCAGTTTTCAAGTCCCCAACACTAGAATGAAGCTCTCTGAGTGAACTGAGCTGAGTCATTTGCACAAGGCCTAGATCCTGAGAGCTGGCAGAAGGACGGAAGGAAGGAAGGGAGAGAAGGGAAGGAAGGGAGGAAGGGAAGGAAGGGAGAGAAGGGAAGGAAGGGAGGAAGGGAAGGAAGGGAGGAAGGGAGGGAAGGAAGGGAGGCAGGCAGGCAGGCAGGCAGGAAGGCAAGGAAGGAGGCAAAGAATGGAGGAAGGAAGGAAGAGTGGAAGGAAGGGAAGGAAAGGAGGGAGGAAGGGAGGGAGGGACGGAAGAAAGGAGAAAAGGAAGGATCAGTTCTGAGAAGTTTCTCCCTGACTGCTGGGCCTCGAAAAATCAGTAGCAGAGACTCAGTTACACTCAAGGGTGTCTCTAAACAACAACAGAAACTCAGAGCCAAAAAGTAGTTTACAATACTGAAATTATAGGAAACAAGCACAAAAGGCCATTGGGTGGGGCTGATGGAGCATGATCTGGTCCTTAAACTATGCAGGTTGCCTGGGAAGCCCACCCTATGGAGATTGGGAGGAGAGGGGGATGCTGATGGCTTATGGGGGAGAGCCTGGGCTGGGGTAGTTTTTAGTGATGGGCTCTTGGGCCCTCTCCTCTCCTCCAGCTAGCTCAGGCCTTTAAGAGGCAGGCCCAAGAAGAGAATTCCAGGAAGCCCTAGAAGTTCCCCAGCCCCTCCACCCCATGGACCTTGATCCCCTGCAGGAGGGGGAAGTCGAGCAGTGGCCCAAAGACGCAGTCATCCTCCTGGCTTGGGGCTGGGGCTGCCAGGGTCCCCAGGGGGCTGGCCTGGAACCAGAGGTTCTCATAGGACTTGGGGCTGGGGCTGACACCCCCCAAGAGGGGCTGAGTGGAGTCGCAGCGGAGGTAGTGCCCTGGCCCTGGGCTTGTGGGGCTGCCCAGCAGCTGCCCGTAAAGGACCTGATCCCTGGTGCCAGACTGGGATTGGGGCTGGGTGGAAGCTGCTCTTGGGTCCCTCTGGAGCACATAGGGCTGGACCAGAGTGGGGAGGCCACAAGTCTCTGAGCTGTTATGGGACTCCCAGGGCACCGGCTTCTTCTTCTCCTCCTCCAGCACTGTGAGCTTGGTGATGGGTGGCGTGCCGAGGCTGGGCAGCTGGAAGGCCTCCTGCACACAAGGATGTGGGGTGAGAGCACGGCTCATTTCAGATGTCTGCCCCAGCCACCGTCCCTGTCTGGGTTCTGGCAGTGGTGGGGACATTCCTGCTGTTACTTCTAGAACACCAAAGGTTCCACTTGCAAAGCATTGTTATGTTCCTGACACATGCCTGACACATGCCACGCACCGTTCAGACTCAGCATCGTCAGTCTTTCCATATCGCGGGGAGCTGACTGAGGCTGTGAGATGGACAGCGCTGGGATTCTTTGGGTCTGTTTCACCTCAAAGGGAGGGGATGTTGCTGGAAGTGACAGGAAGGCCTGAGTACTTAGCTTCAGGAGGTGTCCCTTCACTGAGCCTGGGCCAACATCCCCACCCCATTTCCCTCTTCCTCCTGGCTTCTCACCTCCTCCATGGTGGTGGGCACCCAGGAGCCCAGGCTGCTGTGAGCTGGATCTGGGACATTTGGCCAGAGGGGATTCTTCCTGCTTCAAAAGGAGGCAGACGGAGGCTGGGTCAGACACACCCTCCGATCTTTCCACCCTTTGTCCCACCTGCCCCACCTGAAGAGGTGCAGCTGTGCTTCGTGCACAGAGAAGAAGCTGGGGCTGGGACTCTCAGACAGGGGCCCCAAAGTCTGGGACGGTTGGGAGGGACTTAGATGGGCCCACCTGGACCTGCGGTTCCCTGTGGGTGGGGGAAGCAGGATCTCAGGTTTCTCAAAGGGACTCACTTGGGGCTGCAGCAGAGCCAGACAGTTCCACAGAGACAGGTGAGCAGGAGCAGGAGGCCGAACAGGCCCAGGAGGATGTGTAGCTCAGACCCTTCTGCAGTGAGGGGAGAGCCGGAAGAAATTAGAATGCATGTGGGGAAGGCTGGGTCTCTTCCCTCCGACCAGGGGTTTCAAAGTCAGTCCCCTTCTACTCTCAAAATCAGCAACCTTTGGTTGGGGTACCCTCCTAATAGCCATCTCTGCCCAGACCCCATCTCCCCTTACCTGGGGTCAAGGTCATCAGGTTGAGGACTGTACTGTTGACGGCCCCAGCCTTGCTGACGGCCATGAGGTGGACGTGATACAGACTGGCGGGCTTCAGGCCATGGAGGACAAAGCCACTGGACGAGGCATTCAGGATGGTGGCTGGGAGGGGTGTACGGTCAGCCTAGGCCTGGATGCTGAAGCTGCCTCCATGGCAGCTGAGCACCCTCTCCTGGGCCTTCTGGGGCTGTGGGGAACTGAGGATAGACTCACAGAAGAACTGGTTCTGAGCGTTGGTCCAAAAGATGGTGTAGTGGGTCAGGGGACTCTTCCCCAGCTCAGGGGGCTCGGGCACCCACTCCAGCTGTGCCCAGGTCTTGCCAATGTGGTTTAGACGAAGCTCTGGGGCACGGGAGGGGCCTGTGGGAAGAAAGAGGTGCAGGGGGTAAAGGGAGTGGGGCAGAGCAAGAGCCCAATTGGACTTCTTGTGGCTTTCCAGCCACTGCAGGGTAGATGAGAAAGAGCCCAAGGGAACTCATGTCCAAGCCTCATTTTCCCAGGGATTTAATCCAGGTTCCGCCTACTGCTAATAAAGTGTCTGAGCCAGGATTTGAACCTGGCTCTGCTTGACTCTAGATTTTCCCTTTCTGATTTCTACCAGGACTGATTTTATCTGATTTACTCTCTGATTTCTGCCACTCACTCTCTGAATTTATGCCAGGTCCTCTGTCCAATTTCTTTTGTTTTGTTTTGAGACAGGGTCTCGCTCTGTCACCCAGGGCTCGAGCG